TCCTGATTATGGAGACCTTGTTCGTCTACAGAAAGAGAAGGGTTTATTTTGGAAAAATAAAAAAATATATTATGTAAAAATCCTATTCAAAAATTTGGGATTTTTTTATGAATTATGGAAATAATTCAAGATGGTAGCAGTACATTTTTCATTAAACAACAGAAGTGTCTTTAGTCTAAAGAGTCAGATTCTTCATGATATTTTTTAAAACCTTATCTCTCTGTCTCTGTCCCTCTCTGTGTGTCTCTGTTTCTGTCCCTCTGTCTGTCTGTCTGTTTCTCTTTTGCACACACACACGCACACACACAGAAACACACTGCCCCCAGGGTTCTATAACTCATAAAAATGTAAAGAAAGCAAATAAAATGTTCATGGTATAGTGGAAAGAACACTAGCCTGAGGGTTAGGAGCCCTGCATTCTCACCCTGACTCTGTCACTAGTCAACCATGTGATCTTGGATAATTCAGTAAACTCTGGGCCTCAGTTTCCCTTCTCATAAAAGGAGGATATGCAGCTAAATAATCTCTAAAGCTCTAAAATTGCAAACCTGAAAACTTGAAGTTGCACAGCAGCCGAAGTGGTAGAAATTATTCGCAAACAAATAGGATTCATCGTCGGGTAACTCCCCGAGGGAGGCAATTCTATGTGGTCACGGGACAGAGAAAAAGACACAGCCTGTTTCGCCTGGAGTTCTCGTGAATCTAGGCGCTAGGAAGGTTAAAAAAAAAAAAAAAGATGCAGGTGGGTGAGCGGTTCACTCTCAGAGTGAAGGCAGCATCCACCTCTAATGACAGAAGTAAAGTTTTTGTTCCCGGGTATCCATCTCTCTACTGCTTTCTCCCGGGATCCCATCCTGAAGTTTCCCGTCTGGACATGCACTGTCAGTGGTAACCTGCAGCCTGGGCCAGTCTGGCTCATTGACTCTGCTGGTTTTCAAAGCCCAGCTGTCACCTCAACCCTCCTTTCCCATTTTGCTCTCCCAACATGTACTGGCTGTGTGATGCTGAGGTAAAGGGTGAAAGCTGATAGTATCTCTGCTCAACTGCCACTTCATTGCAAGCATCCTCCCTGACCATTCTGGCTGATACAACCACATCGCTTTCTATTCCCTAACCTGATTTACTGTTCTTCAGAAGTTGTATCACCCTGGACATAGAATTATTTATTTATGTGTCTGTCACCTCCGCCACAGTGTAAATTTCAGCAGGGTTTTGACCCCCGTTTTATCTTCAACACATAAACCAGAGCCTTGGAACATAAGAGACCCCTAATTAAGATTCATAGCATTAATGAAATACCTATTATAATAAATCCATACCTATGATCTAATTTTCTGGCCAATCGATCCCCACAAGCCCTGTCCCCAAGGAGAAATTCAACTAATGTACAGTCAACGAAGGTACCAAACTTTATTGAATCCTTACTGTGACCTATGGTAAGGAGGTTCTTTGGCCCCATTTTACAGATGAGAAAACTGAGCCTCCAGGAGCTTAGTGCCTTGCTATAGGACACGCAGCAACTGAGCAGCAGAACTGAGAATGAACCCAGGTTTTCTGACTCGGAGTCCCCAGTTCATTTCCCTATTTCATTCACCAGGTCTGCATTTTCTCTGACTGATTCCCCATCTTTAATGGTACAATGTGCATTGACTGAATCAAGCTTCCCTAGATGAAATAAGTAGATTCAATTGAAGACTGCCTAGAACTAAGGTGCAGTTTTGGAAACCAGGTCATTCTTAAGGCAGCAACCAGTATCACGTGCTTTTCAACAACTGATACCATCACCGTGGGGAGCAGGGTGGTATAGGGTGTTGTTTAATATTTAGGCTAACTTATCTGTGGCAAAAGAACAGTAGAAGGCCTCCTGCAAATTTTGGTGCTCCCAACATGGTGCTCGGAGCCTTCCCAGGAGACATTCTTGGAGAGGAGAAGAGAGCGTAATACAGAAGGACTTACTATAACAAGGGTGATGAAGTTAAGATTTTGTAATCACACGAAGTTGTGCAAATTATGCACAAAGTAAAAAGCTTCTGCAAAGGAATCCAGACTTCCCTGGCATTCTGGACCAAACAGGTCCCCAGTGATGAGACCCAGAGGTATTTTGAAATATAAGTATGCTTCATATATGAGGAAGAAATACGCAGGTGCATAAATATCACATGCCAGAATTAGTCAAAGATGACTTGTCAAGGCCATTCAAACTGGGAACACACATTCTGAATCTGTGTCTACAAATTCGACATGGTATGTGGTGTCTTCTGACCTCTCTCAGCCTAGAACTGGATTTCGTGGACATGTAGGTACATGTTCTTGCAAGAGCATGTGAGCGTGATATTTTAGGAACTGAAAGGATTGGAAAGGCACTATTGTAGAGGTAATTTAGTCCCACTATTTCACTTTTACAAAGTTTGAATGACTGAATGGACTGTGCATCCTCGCACAGAGACCAGAAGTCCCCTGGCCTCTCCTTGTCCACTGTCTTCTCCAAACACAGCGTTTGAACCAATGTGGGATTGGGGTCTGGGAACCCCGAGATCCGAAGGTCACCCGTGAACAGGAAACTGTGGCTTTCACACAATCTCAATACCAAAATATACACTAAACACTCAATCCTTCAGAACGCTGGGCAGTGAAGAAGCCTGCTTGAAAAGTCACTGCCCTGCCCACCAGCAGACCAGCCAGGCAACCTGGATCAGAGACAAGGGTGCTCCGGGGGAGGGTCTGGACAGGACTCACAGGCTCCCATCACCCAGGTGAGAAGGAATCCTGTCACTCCCACCCTGGCATGAAGTGCCAGGGTCCTGGTCTAAGCTTGTTCTCATTGACGGCCATGCCAATCCCTGTGTATGCAGCTAAAGAGGTTAGCACATCCTGGGTTCACAGACCACAGCTTCCTCCTTACCCTCAGGGCCTGTGCCGAGAGGTCTGAGCATCGGGGAGATATTGCTTCACTTCTCCTTAGGGTGTCCACATCAAGACCCTGGAGCCATCTTACCACCCTTCCGGGTCAGCTGGGGGCCTTCTGGGTAAGTGGCAAGCATCCTAGTGAGGGAAGTTTTCTAGAGCGGAGCATCTTATTACTAAACCAGGGATACTGAGACACTTGCACGCACCCACCAATGAGAAGAGAAACTGGCATGAAATGACCGATGGGTAACCACCTCCCTACAGGAATGCCCTCTCACCCATGCACTTTAAACTGGAGGAACCCAGGCTCACAGAGGCTCCCTTCAACCCAATACAATCAGTAATCTCATCTCCACATCTTCAAGTTCCTGCTGTTGGTGCCTTTTACTTAAGTCAGCATATTTCAAACTTTCAGAGAGAGAGAAAGAAAAAAAACTTAGAAAATAAAAACCACCACCCCACCCAAATGATAAAAATCTCCTGAATTCTCCAAGCCCTACATTCTCTTCCTCAGGCCTGAGCAAAGACTTGATTCCTCTGGGTTCTGGGGATGGCGGGCTTTGCCAGTCCCCACCTCACCAGCCTAATAGCTTTTCCAGACCGACTCGGGCTTGGTGCTGGGGGACAGCCTCGCAGCCAACTGCTGGTCCCATTCATTCCTCTCGGGCCTCTTAAGGCCAGTCTCATTAGGGGCTGTCCCTCCTCTCTGCTTCTGGCTCCACTTCCCCCTTCCAGAGGGATCAGGCAGTCAACCCTCGTGAAGTGTGCGGTGAAACCCGGACCCTCACCCGTCCCTCTGGGCTGCACTTGGTAACGTGGACCCAGGCGCGAGGCGCGGGGTGAGGCTAGGGGCTGGGGGGTAGTAGGCAGTCGTCCGGGCCGCCGGCTCAGGGCCGCTCACTTTAGGAGGAGCGGCTCCGCAGGCGCGGGACCCTCTCCGAGAGGCCGGTGGGAGCCCGGGCGCGGAGCGCGGGAGCCGGGCGTGCGGAGCGGCGCGGACCGGCTGGGAAAAAGATGCCCCGGCGGAGGAGCGGCGAGGCCGGCCCGTTAGTCCCGAGGAGCCGGCAGCTCCCGAGCGCCGAGAGCCCGGCAACAGAAGTACCAAGAGGAAGGGAAACCGGCCCGCGCTGACATGTAAACAGGGCTTCCATCTGGAGCAGCCCGCGCACACAGAGCCCCAGACACTCACTCGCACCCCGATCCGCCTGCAAGCAATCCACTTGCCTGCCCCTGGGCCCTCCCGGCAGGGGCCCGGGCTGCTGGCGGCTGCCCGCCCGCCCCCGTCGTCTTCGGCCTCGGGGGAGAGGAAGCCGGCCGCCGGGCGGGTGCCCAGCGCCGGGGCCGGGGTGCCCGGCTCGCCGGGTGGGAGTGGTGGCCCCGGAGGTCTCCGGCCCCCGGCTGCGAACGGCGCCCGGCTCCCCGGGTTTCACGCCGCCGCCGCCGTCCGCAGCCCGGCCGGCAGCGCGGTGGGAGGGGGCCGGGCTTCGCTCCGGGCAAGGGGTGCGGGGGAGATCGCCCTCGGCGGGGAGCCCGGCGGCTCGCCCCCGCCTGCGAGACTCGCCACACGAGCGCGGGAGGAGACGGCGCGAAGCCGGGGCGCGGAAGGAAGGGAGAGTGGCCACGTCTTCCGGGACCCCGGCGCCCCGCGCCCAGCCTGCCCGCCGCCTCGCCGCCCCGGCAGACCCCAGCGCTCCGCGCCCACCGCCCGGTCGCTTACCTTAATAGTCCCGTCCATTTGGCCAAGTCTGCAGCCGAGCCCCCCAATATTCCACACATTGACCCGGTTACAGCCTGACCTCGCAGCCCCTTCGGATTAGCCCGGCGCGGCCTCTCTGGCGCCCTGGGCCCTCCCTGCGTGCCCCCCGCGAGCGCCCTGCCCTCGCTCCCCTGTGCACGTTTGTTGTTGTAGCGGAGCGAAAAAGAGACAGTTAACCGGATGAAACTTTTTTTCAGCTAATTTTGGGAAGTGACTTCACTTTGCGAATGGGGAGGAAGTCCTATCTCTCTCTCTCTCTCTCTCTCTCTGTCTCTCGCTCTCCTCTCTCTTCTCTTCTCTCCCCTCTGCTCTCCCTCGTCTTCCCTCTCCCCCCTTCACACCCCCTCTTCCTCCCCTCCGCGGGTCCTGCTTTTCGCATCACACACACTATATAAATACACGCGGAGATGCCCAGATACATTCATGCGCTGCGCCCACAGGATACTTGCTCCCGGGAGATAACAGCGAGCTGGGAACAATGCCGGGGTCCACGCCCAGCGCCCGCGCCCTGATTCCCGCAGTCTGCATGCCTCCCCCCACACCTTCCCCCAAAGTCCAACACCGAACGCCTTTGGCCTCCTTCCTTTCCAGGGGCCGTTGGCCGAAGGTGGCCCTCCTGACTCATTCACTTTCCGTTTCTTCCCACAGATACGTTCATTAATGTTTTTTCCAGCCGAGTCAAACTTTTTCTGGGGTTGGGGGGTAGGCGGGGGGCGGGAGAGTTTACTCGGGCTGGGGATAACCTGGAGCCTACTGCCCGGGAAGATCCGGACGCAGACCGAAGCCGACCGACCATTAGAAAGTGCGTCCAATGGGAATTTTTCCACTCGGGCCCTCGGCTGCGGAGTCGCGCAGACTCCCGGAGCGGCTCACCCATCGACGCGGACTCGGGGCGGTTTCGGACGGACCCCGGCAGTCGGGGGCGTGGACTCGGCTCCCAGCGAGCTGTGAGCGGAGGGACGCACGCGGGGAGGAGCGCCTCGGCCCCTCTGCTACTGGGGAGGTCCCGGCGCCCGCCGAGGGCCGGGACCTGCGGCACCCCAGACCACTGCTTCGCGCCTTCTAGGGTCAACTCCCTGGCACATACCCCAACCCGATGGCCCAAGCCCTGGCACTCGGGTCAAAGCCGCCTATGCAATGCCACCTTGGGCCCCAAGAAACCTACACTACGGAGAGACGATCCCTCCAGGCTGGCCGGCGGGTCTCCAAAGCACAGCAGGCAACATCCCCACACCGACCCAGACTTCTCCCGGGTGAGACCCCCGGGGCCGGGGCTCCAGACCATCATCCCCACCCCGCCGTGAGGCCAACCTCCCCTCGGCCCGCCTTGTCGGGCCCCGCCACCCGGAGACCTCCCGGGTCCCTCCGCAGTGCCGCCGCCCGCTCCAGTTGGCGCAGCGAGGGGACCCCCGGGCGCTCTCGGCCTGACTCGCTTCTCCCCGACCTCCTCCGAAACAGGTTACCTTGTCCACGCTCTCCAGACCACGCTTTGGACTTTCTCACTTTTATTTAAGAGTCCACCCGGAGAAAGAGGAAAAAAAAATCCAGAGGAGATCCGAGTCAATTGGAAAGAAAAATTTTCAAAAGGGTGTCCACAGCGGCGGAAAAGGTGACTTATCAATTCTTTATTTCTTCAGGAGCAGTTGAGCCCGAGAGCTCGCTGGCCTCCCTCCCTCCCCCCACCCCCTTCTCGAAATTAGTCTCATCAATTCAGCTCCAATTTTGGGTTCGAATACAGACACGGGTCTGAACGTGACCAGACCTGGAGTGGCGGGTGCAGCTTGCCAGCAATTGTGACTCGGTGTGCGTACGGGGGAGAGGGGTGGGGGGATGGGGTGGGGGTGGGATGGGGGCCGGGCCGCCCCCCCCCACCTCCTGTCTGCTTCTCAATCCAGGGGTCTGCTCGGGGGCTCCCCTGGGACCGCCACATCTGGTTACCGCTAGCGGGGTCAGTCCCCCCCTTTGCCTGGGGCCACCAGTTCTGGAGTTCAATTAAAAGAAATCAGGCTTAACCCTTTCCTCCCCTGGGCCCCGATGCCCGCCCTCTCTCTCTTCCCTTCAGCGTTTCCACATGCTTTCCAGAGAGGAAAGAGGTTAAAGGGAAAGGAAGAATGAATTACATCCTTTCAAACCCCAAATTGTTTCCTTTTCAGCCCAGACTCTGCCGACCTTCAAACGACAACAAGGCTTTCAGAAGGGAGCGGGGAAACCGCTTCCCACACGGACCTGACCAGAAACCCGGCACCCCCGGCCACATTCCCCCTCTTTCAGGCAGAGAGAACTCCAGTCTACCGCCGGAGGCCCCCTTCCTGGTGCTGGGCAAACACTCAGGCCGTTAAAGGCCATCGCAGGCCAGCCAGCGTCTCCCCCTTCTACGCCCGGTCTTCCTAATACTTGAGAAGGCACCTCTGTGGCAAAACATTGGCCAGGTGTCTCTTCCCAACTCCTGTCCAGCCTGGCAAATAACAGATTGGCTTCACTGCTCTGATCAGTAAGTCACCCCAACATCTCTAGTACCCCCAACTCCTTTTAGCAGGAGCTGCCTCTCCTCTGGGGAGAACTCAGTGTGGAACTAGATTAAAAGGAGGACTTGCCCTCCTGTGTGAGCTGTGGAACTCAACAGCCCTTTCCGTTTCTGCCTGTAAAACCAAAGCTTCTGGCAATTTTGTAATTTTGAAGATGGTGGGGAGGGGAAGAGGCTGGCACTGGTACAGCTGTCACCCCTTAGTGACTCACTGGCTGGCACTGGGGCCGCGGCTTTGAGTGTTTACCAGTCCCTCTGTCAGAAGCTCCTGTCTATTCACAAGGCCCTCCACCCAGGAAGAAGAGCCCCCCAACTCTGAAGAGCCCTCTGAGGGAATCTGAGTCTCCCTGTGACCCGCACTGGCATGGCAGTGGGCAGGGCTGCCCACTTATGTAACTCTGGGTTTGATGTCCCACTCCACTGCTGCTGCTGCTTTTTTAAATCCTGAAGGGGGAAAAAAGCCCTAACCAAACACAACAGTAAACAAGTCTGCCCTGTTTAATGTGGTAACCACCAGACATCTGGAAAGATGGTTTGATCCTGGCAGCTCACATTGTTTTCACGAGCAGCCAAAGAGAATATTTCGAATGTTTGCATTGAGACAAATTGATAGAGAGCCTGTGGTGAAGCAGCTACAGCTGAAAACGGTCTTGGAGCTGGGGAGGGGGAATCCTTCCCCTTCTCTCTCCTCACCCCTCTTCTGCCCTCTCCCCTCCCCCTCCTCTCCCTTCTCCTGGCCCAGCTAGGGGCTGGTTACCCCAGCCCACGCATTTGCTCACACCCTCTTTCCTGGCTCACCAGAGACTGTCCTGCCTCTCCCTTTCCCAGACTGGGCAGGGCTGGTGACCAGGAGCTAATGCCCAATACCGTCCTGCCCACTCCACCAGCCCCGGCTGGCTTTCAAGTCAGGGGAAGCTCACAGCCGAACCCGCACTGAAAACAAAAGCCAGCAACCGGGGGTCGGTGTTGGGGTGGGGGGAACCAACAAAAGAGCCCACCACACGTTTCTGAGTCTAAGGTCACTTGCAGAACGCATGCCCACAGGGGCGAGCACTCAGGGAACCTTTGGACTTGGAGCATTTTCATTGCTACTGTGGTGGGGCGACTTGCCTCGCACCATCCGCACTTGACAATATTTTCAAAGATGCGGAAGTCCTGCTTCCCCCGGGAGGGGAGCGGCGGGGTGAAACGTGTCTTGGCTCGCTCAATGTCAGCCCTTTTGACCCGGTCAAGACTTTCCAGACGCGGCTTCCCGGGCTTCTTCGGTCCCAGCCCGGGTTGGGGGTGGGAGGACGCGACAACCGGAGCCGGGTCCCTGGGGTGCCTCCAGACCTCGGGACCTCCGGTCACTTGAAACCCCGAAAGATGCCAGGCTTGGCAGGGCGTCTCGGGCGGGTCCTTCCCCTTTCGTCCTCCCTCCTCCCGGCCCCTCCGGTCCGGCGGCCTCGGCGGGTATTCGAGCTGGCAAGGGGGGTGGGGGAGGGCGCGCGGGGGAGGGATGGGCGAACGAGCGCCAAAACTCCAGACTGCACAACTGCAGCTTCAAGTGTCTGGCCCCTCGCTCGAGGCCATAATTAATTTGAGATTTATTTTTATTGGAGAACTCGAGTCTCGTCTGACCTTAGCCAAACAAGGCAGCTCGAGCCGCCCCTGGATGCGCTTGAATGCCGGGGAATATTTCTGCAGGAAGGCTCTGCAGGCGCGCCTGCTTTGAATTTGTTTCTCAGACTTCATCGACTCACAGATTGAAGGAAGATTTAGAGCCTCTGCTGGCCCGGCCCGCTCCCCACGCTCGTTCTTGCCTTAGCGCCAAGAGGGTTCAAAACGCTACGTGGGAGGCCGCGGCGGCGGGAGGGCCCGGGAGGGGGAGGGTCTCTGCGCCCCGAGCCCCTGGCGCTCCGGGGCCGGGTCCCCAGACCACGCGGCGTCGAGGAGGAAATCCCAAGGGAGTCCGAGACTGACCAGAGAGCGCAGGCTGACAAGAGGTGGAGACCAGCCAGGTGCCGGGACCCTCACCCGGTGGCGGCGCCTAGACGGGGGCTTTGGGGGAAGGGAGAATTCAGCCTTTCCAAATCTCCAGCCGCCCTGCCTCCCAGCCGCCCCAAACAGCATGCAAAGTACAGACCTGTGTCCTTGAAACGCCGTTTCAGGACCTGCCGGCCAGATGCTGCCCCTGGGCCGTGCCGTTGCGAACATTCGGGGGCTACCAGCCTCTTTTCCTCTGGTTGGGGGGAGTCTCCCCCAGAATGCAGCGTGGGCTGAACCAGCACGCTGGTTGGAGGGGGAGCGAGAACAAGGAGTCTGGGAGACTCGTAAAGAGGGAAAGTGGGGGACCCTGCCAGTCTCTAGGGGGGCGGCGAGAGGTCTTCGGGGATGTGCTCCTGGCGCTGGAATTGCCAAGTGCTTTGCCCAGTGCGGGCACCTCGCAAGGACATGGTCAGGGTTCCTCCACTGGGTCTCCTGCCTCTCCCCGATACCTGCAAGTGGAACGTCCTGGTCGAACATTCGCATTGGGAAACCGGGCTCCTTGGGTTTATATTCTAGCTCTGCATTTACCAGCTCTGTGGCCTTGGACAAGTTCCTTAACCTCTCTGTGCTTCAATGTCGCATCTGTACGTTGGCTTTATAATAGGATCTACCTCAAAGGGCTGTTGTAAAGATGGAGTGAGTGTCTAGAACTCGCTTGGCGGTCAGCACAACTTCGCCCTTATTGTTTGTATCTTGGCTCTGCCCCTTGTAAGCTAGATTACATTAACCTCTCAATGCCTCAGTTTCTCATCTGCAAAATGGACCACCTCCTAGCGTTTTTATTAATATTAAATAAGTTAGTACAAATACAATGCTCTCCCCCTTTTCACCTTTCTCTTGCTCTTTCCAGCCTCAAATCCGCCCTACGCTCTCTCCTGCGCGGTCCTCCTTGAGCACTTGGAACCCAGATCGCTGCCCGGGTGGAGTGGGCACCCTTGGTTCCCCAGGGCCCGGCTCGTCTCCTGGCTCCTGGGGCCCCGGGCGCCTGGACGTGCCGTGTTTGCCAATGATATCGGAGCCGAGTGCTGAGGCGGGATGGCCGGGGCTTGGCGGCCAGAGACTGTTTGTGCCCCTCTGGCAAATGGTAGGCGTAGGGAGCCTGCGGAACAGACCCAAGATTGTCACCGCCACACGGACCTCCCGACCTCATCAATGCACCTCTTTGTGCAACAATACAAACTTTGTGGCTGCCGAAAAATCCATTTTTTCCCCTTGAAAGGAGCTCCTGAGGCGAGCGGCTCCCCTGGCGGCCGGAGCTCGTAGACTGCCGCCCCTCTCCCCCTCCCCCAGCGGCTCCCTCCACTCGCCGGGGCCCGTTTGCTTTCTCTCTGACTCTTGGCCTGGGTCAGGCTCCCGGGCTCCCACTTGCCCCTCTGGGTCATCCTTAAGGTTTTGGGTCCCCGGGTGTGTGCAGGCTCGGGGGTCCCAGTGGATGGGAGACAGACTGCAGCGCCCCGCCCCGGGGCCCTTCGCGGCCCTCGGGGCAGAGCGGGGAGTGAGAGCCGGGTCAGCTGCGCCCCGCGTCCCGGGAGCGGTGGGGTGGGAGGGGTTACCGCACCCATAACTCCCCAGGAAACCTGGACGCCGCGAACCGAGCTCGCTGAAGTCTGTGTCTGCTCTGCCACCTCCTGGGAGGCACCCATCCGTTTACTGATTACCCGTCCATTGATTGACTCGTTTTTCATTCATTCATCACTGATAGATTAAACAGCCCTTCCCGGCCAAGCCTCCAAAACCTGGCTTCCCCAAAGTGACTATGTGGACTCCTTCAGACCACAGGCAGGGAAGATGCTACTTGGTGTCCACAGATTTCCCTTGAGAGAAACAGGAGGAGGGCTGGACGCATAATTGACGCGCCCAGAAAAAACCCGAGAGTCCCCACGCCGTCGAGGTGCCCGGTGCCCGCAGACGGTCACTCCGCCCGGCTTTCGCGGATGCTGGACGCAGCGGAGGGGGCCAGGAGGGAGGGGCGGGGGCCTCTCGGGGCGGGGTTTCGGGAAGGAGGGGGCGGAGCCGAGATCTAAGGAGGTGGGAGTTAGTTTGCCGAGCCGCAGCAGTCCTTCCTTTTCGGAGCTGGGGAAGGATCTGGGCTGCTACCCGGAAGGCGGGAGGTCGCGCTTGGGATGCGAGAGGACCTCGCCGCGGTCCCCACCCTGGGCAGCTCCGCACCTTCGGCCCGCCCCGCTGGCGGATTTTCATTAAACGTGTAACCCAGATGTCCTGGCCTCGGTTTGTTTACATTCTTGGGAACTGCTGTGGAAAAGGAAAAAAAAAAAAAAAACAACCAACCCCCTTCGATATACCTTCAAATACAGGAATCTGCGCTTTTGAGGGGCCGGTGGAGCTGAGGAAGGTGGGCTTGAGGACCGGGGGTGTCGAACCCGTAAGAGAAGCGCGTCGCGATCACTTGCCCGCACCCACACGCACGCGCTCACACCCTCACACTCTTGTCCACACAGACCCCTGACTCGGGGAACCTGTTGTGCACGGCGCGGCGTGGGCGCACGACTCATCGGGACCGCACGCTGGCCCGCGGGTCCTGGTGCCGGCGTCTGGGCTTTCGTGCACGGCCCTCACCTGGCTCGCCCACCTCCATTCTCCCAGAGAGAAGCGGCCAAGAGGCTTGGTCCTCAACCAGGGATTCCCGAGGGTCTGCGCCATCCTCATCCAGTCTAGCTAGTGGCCCCAGCTCCACACCCATCTGGTAAGAGCGTGGTCCGCTCCACCCGCCTCTTTTCCCGCGGAAAGG